ATGTACCTCACATTTCCAAGTGAAAGGTAGTAAGGGGTTGTAAGATATACAAATATTAGTACCTATGGATGAATATGGGTTGATATATTAGAAATCAATGTTTTAATCCCAAGGGAACTCAGTAAAAATCTTATCATCTTAATACCAGAGTCAAGATTGTTATGAATACTCCAGTGACCAGATTCATTTCATTTTAGGTACAGGTTGTATGTTGCCTTATATGTATTTATTCCCAGGATATATTGGAAATCTCACATTTCAAAAACAAGTCTGGAAATATTGGCCTTATTTTGATTTGACCCAGACACTTTGGTATATTTTAAAAATATTTATAGGCCTGTGCAATTGTTTTGTCCTGTCTAGTTTTGATTTTGTGGGAATCTTTCTGGTTCATATAGTTTATAGTGATTTATATACTTTTGTTTACGAGGTCGAACTATTTCAAGTTGCTCATGCTTTTTTGAGTGTGAACCCCCCCCTGGCCAATAAATCTTTCAAAATCATGCAGTTTTTCACCATTCTGAGCACTTTTTAAGTGATTTTGGCCATTTTTGGACCAAAATTGTCTCAAGTGAACCCCCCTGGAATTTTTCAAAAAGTGAACCCCCCTTAGCAAATCCTGGCTACGGGCCTGTACCAATACCAATACCACAGTTCAAAAGGATGTATAAAGCTCTCTTTTGAAGAAGTTAAATCAAACTATCAGAAAGTGTAATTAATTGACCATGTTACTCTTCCTATCTCCCTATACTCCCTAATATACTACAGGCATTCCTAAAAAACATCTCAAGTTTTTCACATGTTCTGACTCAGGTTTTAAGTGTTGAAATAGCACTTAAGATTGAAACATAACAAATGCTCCATCATAGATACATGGAATTTCAACTGAGAGCACGTAATCTTGCACCAGTACATCATTCTTCCAATGTGTCAACAACACCCTCAATATATCTGTCATACAAAGTGATTTACTTACACATATGTATGTCATAACATAAGTTTGCATAAACTAATAAATAATGAATAAAAATCTCCAAACTCAGGGCTCCAGCCATTACAAACTTTATGGCACTCAACGTGTGTCATTCTGTTGCTAATGTCTATGTTTCTGATATGTTTAAGGGTGTCAACTCAAGAGAGGGAGGGACTACTAGCCATACAGCTATAATTGTAAACCCTAAATAATTGAAGAAGTCAATTTTATCTACATTTTTTCAAATGTATCTATATTTTTTCCTTAATCATAGCACAATATTCTCTGAGATCCATTTGACAGTACATATCATTTAATTTCACTTCCAAAAATGAAAAAGCTGAAATGATCAACAACTGAAATGTTTCCATTTGTCTTTTGACTCACAGAAATATATTTTGAAATCCCAAACAGACCCAGCTGTACTATTATCACTCCATTAATTTTAATGTTGGGTCATACAAATCTTCATGCAGTGAATCTCAGCTACAATTCTATTGGAGAGCAAACTGATGTGTCTGGTAATATAAGTTTGATTGTAGAACTGTTATAAAACAGACCACCCTGCTAGACATTATCAAAATGTTATTGGGATCGAGTAATCCCATTTGTCTTCCTTGTTTGACTTGATTATATACAAAGTTTTACTACAAGGTTCTTGTAGTGGTTGTCACTGGTTGACTAAATCCAGTGATTCTAGGTCTGTAAAAATGCACAGGACAGGCATGATGACAGGCAAATGAGAAAATGTTGGCCAAGATTTTCAAAAGGTGGGTCCAAGATGGTTCCAACAAAATGGAATACAATAATTGTTGATTTCCTCCCCTTGTCAATTCCCAGGACTGTCTATAGGCGCAGGGAGAGGCTTACAGTTTGAATTATTTCTAAATTTTTTGAAACGTTGGGGAACCAATATTTAAAATTCAAAAATCATTTTAGTAAAATTCTCTAAGAAGAAATGTTTAGGGCAGAATCAGGCAAGCAGTTTGGTGCAAATTGGAATGTGAGTGCAATGTCCTTGGTGAATGTCATTTTATATGATGAGTAATGGGCTTGGGTGATGTCAACTTAGAATCAGGCTTACAATTTACCTATAGCCCTGGTTACATGCTTACATAAGATGCATGTCATCATTAGACAACTATCCATTTTCATTAGCATTAGTGATATAAAAGGAGTCACACTTACCCTCTAATGAGTCAACTCCAATTGGGTGTATCTGAGGTGGAGATGTCACATGAATGGTCTTTAGAATTGTGGGTAATGACCTCCCTTGAAAATAGAAAGATTTATGTCAACATGACACCCTGCTAATTAAAGATACAATCCTCATTAAATCAGGAGTTTTAGATTTTCTTCAGAAACAAGAGACATGAAACAAAGAAAGATGGCAAGGTACAACATGCACTAAGTGATATTCTCAAAAAATGTACAGATGTTACAGTAACAAAAAATCAGATGAAATACATGGCCTCAAATAATTGAGTTGTGGAATCAGTTTCAAGGAATATAATTATGTAATCTAATTAGCAATGCAAATATCACAGGTCTTAATGAATAATTAGGCTAAGCACTAATCTAAATCTGTGGTAATCTGCATGAGATATGAGGCCATATGATATAACACCAAAGACATGGAGAGCGAAACTGATGAATTATTTCAACTGGAATTTCCTCAGATGTCATAGAGGGAATGGTTGTAAATTGAATTGGTTTTTTCTCATTTTTTGTAATTGTATCACTTTTGTGATATCTGAGTCAATAATATAAGAAAATGAATTTAGCTATTAAAACAGTAAGGTTGCATCCTATCATTAACACTTGTATTTCCTCCAGTCAGAAAATGATGAATTTGTTCAAATATAATTTGTTGATTGGTTGCTTCATTTAATTTGTCCCCTCTTCCCTTAGTATATTAGGTACCAGGTATAAGGTACATTAGGTGAATGTGAATCATTTTTTTAAGTTATATCTAACTTTTGGTACTTTTCCCCAAAATAACTCACAAATTCAGGAAAAATCACTTAATTCAGGATGAATGTCAATAATTTATGGATGGTTTAAAATTTCAGATCTTGCAAATAAACAAAACATGGTATGTGGCAGGGGTATCCTGCATGGTTTAAGAAAAACAAATCAATAGCATGCAATTGAGCCTGAGAGAAAATAAACAAAATCTCCAGCCCAGACCAATGAAATATATCCTGGGAGGAATTTGCCACACTCATGTGTTTCTAATTAAATATCAAGATCTCTAGAGGTTTTCACAAGAAAATCTACCTTCATTTTATTTTGAAATTCCATGGGAATGATTTTTGTAAAATTTTCAAGACATTTGTTAAGACCAGCAGGATTGCTAAATATTATGATCGAGTCTCCTGAAAAAATATTCGATATAGATGTATTGCAGCGCATGATTTGGAGAATTGAAAGTTGTTTCTTTTATTTGACAATATTTATTTTGACGCCTAAAGCCTCCTTCAACAAACAAAATTAATTTAAGAAAATAAAATTTTATTATTTGCCCAAACGCCTGGCTGTTACGTTCATCTTTTGTGACTCTCAGACACAAATAAAACTCTGGCAAACATTTCAGTGAGTACAGGTCAGTATGACACGATTGCTTTAAAATTCAACATAAAGCGAAAAAAGATTTGAAAACCAATGAATGGAATCCCGCCGGGGCAATCTATTGCACCGTAAACATTTAATTAATGTAATGTTTTTGTATTGAAATGAAGTATACTTTTCTTCACACTGTTTTCTTTTCAAGGAGACCTCATACAGATCCTGTCTGGAATATAGTGTTGTTTTTGACCACCAGGGGGCTTAAGAATAAATATATCATACAATATGGCATTGTTTTTTGAAAATGTTTATTCATCAAATTATGTCGAAGAGGGAACAAAGAAGTAATTTGTATTGAAAATAAATTGAGGAGCACGTTATAAAATGCAGTTTTCAGCTGCTCTAGTTTCTCAGCAAAGGAAGATGATATAACAGTGAAATCAAAACTCATTTATCCTGTTGATCAAATTATCAAATTTTGGTAACAATCAAAGTACAATTATGAACATCACTAAATCAGTCACCTGGTAATTTAATCTTGTAGAACTATGCATATTGTAAAATGTTCAAATTAATTTTCAAATAAGAAAATTCCTACAATATGCGCATGCACTTAACATCCTTTAATATCACCTCTTTTGTGAATCTCATAGAGAACTATACCAATTCAGCATTATACTGCATGCCAAATTGCAGGTGCTACCTATCATAAAACAGTATTCTTCATACATCTACTTCTGCTATCTTTATTTCTTCCAAACTAACCAGCTAAACCATAAAGCATTCAAAAATCTGATGATAGGTCAGTAAAACATTGAATTGGATACTAGTTTATCAGATATAGTTTCCCCTCTGGGTTTGGTACATATAACATTTGGGTTCTATCAAAGTTGCAATAACCTGAAATTCTATGACAAATCCATTAAACAAAGCAATACAAGAACAGATGGGAATACATAACACGCAAATGTAGATTATATTAGTATTCAGAAAACAAAAAAATCTGCAATTTTTTCAATATTTTTGAACTTTAGCCCTGTCTGAGTAACCTACCATTATGAGGTCTTGGCAATCTCATTAATTATTCCTGTTAAGTTTTCCTCATTTGCACACTGATACCCTAGAGCAGAGGGGATCAGGTTAACCCTAGGGATGGGTCATACATAACCATCCCTTGGTCCCTAATTAAACACTACAATCATTGTTAATATGTTATTACTTCAAACTCTGTTTTTTATTTGAATACTAATTTTGTGTCTCTCAATGATACTCTTGTAGAACTTAGTGTAAAACAGAATTTGATCTAATATTTTTGTATGTGTAAGTCTTAAAACTGATATAATTCAAACAAAAATGTGTTGCCATTTATCAACCAAATGACTGGTCCCTCTCACACCTCCTGTAGGTTTGCTGTAATCTGATTGGCTGTTCATAAAACACAGCTGTGAAAACCATCATTAGAGGTGTCATTTCACCAAAGCAGAACCATTTCTCAATTTTACACTTACAAAGATAGTTCAGCATATCAGGAATAAAAAAATAAACGTGTGTGAAAAAGAAAAACCATCTGTGTTTCTGGATTTAAATTGTGAACCTTAAAGGACTGTATGCAATGTATAAACCACTGCAACCAACGTAATAGTTAATGAGGCCATTGATCAAATGGATTTAATTAAGGTAGGTGATGATATTATTTTGATTACCAGTAGTGAGCTAATAAGAAAATTGTGGTCTGATATAGTACTCTATCTAATATAGTGCATATAATGTGTATGTTAAGAAGACATCATACACATATGAACATGTTTTAATTAGGAAACCATTAGTTAACACTAGAAATACAAAGAACCTTTTGTTAACTGTAGATATCTTCCTAGCCTGGGTGTCAGAGCCGTGTACATTGTGTAGATGAAACTCTCTTTTAAGGAAGCAAAGTCAAACAATTGGACACCTTATGGAAAGGGTATTATCTAACAAAACCACAAAACTGATAGCATGATTAATAGAATTCAGACATAAAGAACTTGAGAAGGATTGTAAGAAAACCCATCATACAATTCAAACTAATAAGAAGTTTTCTGTGAGTTATAACTGAACTGATGGATTTTCTTCTGATTTATGTCAGTGATAAACAATTGGGAGTTGTGCCATTCCACCAAATGTCAGTTCCAGACACGCTCAATCTATGAATGTAAGCTCTTGGAGCATTAAGTGGAAGAATTTAGAGTTATGATGAGATAGGTTAATACACCTTGACTTGTCTTTCTATTTCATATGAGGCTCAGTATGAGGTAAATACAAATAGGCACACAATCAAAATACTGACAGATACTATAAGTTTCTCAATACCTTGGAAACACATAATGAGAAGGTCTATCTGGCATTCATTGATGAAAACATTTTTATTTACAGTCAGTAAATTGTATAAAACAAATGCTTTCATTGTTGATATAAATGTAAGATTTTCAAAATACTAAATCATTTATGAATATCCAGTAAAATTCAGTCAGAAAATATCCAGTAGGATTTGAATTTTTATGAATTTTTTGTGAAAATGCAAAAAATGCCTCTGCTATCTTGACATTCTGGCACTTTCTGACATTCAATGAGTTACACTCAAAAGACATCTGGTGGTACAACCAACAAAGTATATATCTATATGTTTGAATTGAACTTTTTCTATTTTATTTTCACTCTAACTTTTGCAGATGGTTTACAATTTTAATGCTGATAATCTTGAATGGCCTTTTATCGGGATTAAAATGTTGAATGAATGATGGCTACTTGTAGGTAAAGCACATGTGCCAAGCTTGACTATGGTTTGGATTAGATAAAGGCATAATCAAAAAATGACCATAGCTTTATTCAAAGAGTGTCAATGATGTCTAGCTCTTATAAAGAGTGTTTTGAATATACTGAGATGAAAGATCTGGCATAGAAATGGCAGCAACCATGTCAAAGTTTAGAGGTCAGAGATACAAACATATGATAACATCTTATCTGATGAACCATCTTGTCATTCAGGACATCTCTAACATATGAAATATTGATATCTGATATTCTGACATTGTCAGCCATATCCCATGATCCATCACAAAGGTCATGTGACCTCAACTGACCAATCATTTCAAGGAATAGCTGAAAGAAATTTAAGGTTTATATGTTCAATTTTATGAAATATATGCATGAGAAATAAAGGATTTGACACCAAAATCCATTCTTGATTGAATACATAACGATGACAGTAATCAAATCTAAAAATGACATAACCTGATGTATAACAATGAATGCTGAATTGAATGACTCAGATTTAAATTATTCCTTTCTAATTGAACTGAGGAAATTGTAGAATGAAACTTATACTGAAGAAAAATATTGGAATTGAAATATCTGAATGACTGTGAATTTTATGCAAATAGTTTTAATTGAATGGCTAATAAAATCCACCATCTGTGACACAAATCTAAGTACCAGAAACAAAATGAAAGTAATCTCCCGAATTCTCTCTTATCTGATCAATCAGAAAATGTGGCTTTCTAGATTATGAACAAAACTAGATACAGTTCTATTGTGGAACAACAAAATATTTCATGACTTTTTTTTAATGATTCATATCGATACAAGAATTTCACTTAGTAGCACTAATTCTAATGCACTTATATGTTAAGTCTGCAAGAGCAAAATTCGGTTCAGATAATTGCTGAATATAAAGCTTCCAAATCAATAAAATATGTGACAAATACATAAGAGATTAACCAGAGCAAAAACATTTCAAATTCTGACAAAAGTCTTAACTTTGCATTATTTATAACTAATATACCAATGGTAAGCTATGACTAATCCCAAGTATGATTAGGTTGCTTTAAATGACATTGAATTTAATTACTGTAGGTTACTTTAAATAAGGTCGCTTAAATAGTACCTAATGAAGGTCCTGTATGTCTATTTGTATTTTTATATTTTGCCATGATGTATTTTAATTCATATTTTTGAATTTTGTAGTTAGTTTAGTTCAATTTTTGTTAATTTTGTATTTTGTAGTGATTTTGTATACTGTAGTGACTAATATATCATTGTAATGACATCAAAGAGGCAATAAAAGATAGATATACATTTAACTATTTTATAAAACATTAAAAAAACAAATCAAAATTGGAAACTGGATCCAGCATCTCACCCAACCTGCTGTGCACCAATATGCACCAGTTGACAATTATCACCAGACTTTGAACAATTCAGACTTGGATTTAAAGATGAAAGGGTGCTCATTAATTATGAAATACGTCTGTTGGTTGATGCCCAAGGTATCTTTCAAATGAGTTTCAATTTTCATGTTCGACGGTGTGAAATCGAAGAAATATATCTCCATGGCAACGGAATAAAATATCTAAAGAATATTTCAAGAGATTGTCAAAACATGATGAGAAAATCAAAAAGAATATTCGAAACAAAACTGAAATCAGTGACAAGGGCTCTTCTCTTTTTAATATGAATTTACACCTCGTCAATTCTTAACGTTTTTCATACAAAAATGTTCACTATTTATAAATGATTTATGCATTTGGCGGATTCAAACTCTGAAAAGCTCTCTTTTGTGCTCAACTCTGCAACTTTAACCTTAAATGTAATAGGTTTTTATTAACGCTTGTAAGGACTCTGCGCTTTGAAAGTAATGTGTGAAAACAGGGAAATAATTAGATGTACCTTGGTGAATTACTGTACTCCGGGTATTGTTCGCGTGCGATTTAATTTCGCTTTGTTCGCGAATGTAGTAAAATCGCGAACATTTATCGTCGCGAAATTTGTCTCTTAAATCCCATGGGAATTGGCCCTTGACCTTTGATATGTTTCGTTCGGTGTAAAACGTTTCGTTTGTGTTGTTGGGCGATATTTCAAAGAAGGTCTAAAATGTCTAACATTTTGAATTGGCTTATTAGGCCAACAAAGGTAAGAACTGTTGACGCTAATGATATCCTACAAATTGAAGTTGAAAAAGCCATTCAATAATATTCAAATAAATGCCCTAAACGTGGGTCATTGCCCAGAATTTTTCCAAAAATACAATGCGCATGCGCAAAACCTTGACTTCCGGTTTTTAAAAGTCAATGGGATTTCCTCAGTTGAAAACTTTTGAACGTTAACAGAACGCGGGACTTTGAAATGGCACCTTAGTCATCTCAGGTTCCTGTAACTAGGTACTAATGCCTATCAATCTAACCCACTTTGAACAATCTAGGTGTCACAAATTTTCGGCGAAATAACTTTGAAATAAATTAACAAAAATCACCTATTACGCCATTGAAGTCAATGCAAAATGACGTCAAAATGATGAAAGGAGTAAATTTCAACGGTGTGGTAGGAGTAGTAAAATACACGTGGAGCCTTAGTCATCTCAGGTTTCTGTAACTTTGAAGGTTGATCTGTTTGATTCCGTTGAGATTTGAATCCTCATACCTTTAACTTTTCGGCCAATTTCAAACAAAATATGTTAACTTTTGGTGATATAACTGGTTCATTACATTGGAATGACGTCAAAATAAAACAAGACAATCTCAGTTTCTATGGCACCGATGTCATGACGTCATATTTATCTTAAGATCTCAAATATGACGTCATGTTTAATCAATGAATGACATCTATCGGCTATTCGACCAATTCTGTGCAATGTAATACAAACATTATTCGGATTCTGAACGGGCTGAAATAGCCAGATACGCATTGATTCACGGTAAGCAAAATGTCATCAACTCAAACCCGCGAAATTAAATAGCCGCGAAATTGCAATTTTGAAAAATCGCGAAATTTTATAGCGTCGAAATTTACCCGGAGTACAGTAGATAAAAATCATGAAAAATGTATGTTCTTATGTGAACCAAAAAGTTTATTAATAAAATGTAAAAAACAAGGGAGGCATAATCAGACCCTGGTTAACAAACCTTCATTAAATCGGACCCTAGTTAACTTGAACTCAAACAACAGATCTCAAACCTATAAGTCAAGCTGGGTCCTTCTTCGTCACTGTCACGTACACACATTCAAAATCAACTGCTACCAAAGTCACTTTCTTTAGATGCAATTTCCTAAAACCCAAGGAATAGGGTTCCCTGTGGGTTTAATTACTGCTGGGGTATGAAAGAACTGAGTTTAATAAACTTGAGATTTCTTCATTAGATTCACAGTTGGAGATCCGGGTGTTGGGACAATATATACAAGTGCAGGGTTCAATCTCATGTACATGTTGAAATGAAGGATACCCTGACTCCTTATTTGTTAATTACACTAAACTCTGAGGGTGTCACATGATTTTGGTGTTAATGACATCTTATTAATCTCAAATGCAGGTTTTAAGTCTAAATTCAAGGAGTTGGAGTGTGAAATGAATTCTTGTAGATAGGGTCATTTTTCTGAAGATATATTCTGAGTGAATAGATATTGGCTTATAGACTATAATAGCTATCTCGAAGAATCGTCTCAAATCTGAAGAGTGCATATGGGGTCTTGGTCTTATAAAGGGTATAAAGTCAGTCATTCATAAACACGAAATACTCATATTGGGTATGAATGATTGTCTGAAGGAGATACTTATTTCAAATCAAAATACAATTTCTCAACTGAAGTAGGAAATCTATTATCAATGATGTCACCACATGCAGAATTCCCAGTATAATTGCTGTGCATCTTGAATTGTTTAGATATTCTGTAAGGCAATGGGTACTCATCCTTGAAAAAGTGAGGTACTAAAAACCAGGTCATACTACCCCAAGCAGCATTCTTTGTAAGGCAAGTGGCAAGTGCTGTATTTGTAGAATTAAATGACTTTCTGATGTCATAAAACATTGACATATCATTCCCAATACAAAGACTGATTCAAGCTATTTCACTCACATTGGATTAATCAATTCAACCCATTTTTTAAAAAATCACTATTTTTATACCAACTCTAATTTTACCAAAATCTGTTTTAATCAGTGGCACTACAAATTTAGACCTATTCTACCACTTTTTTAGAAAAATGTTCTTTTTTGCATTCAGGTTTCAGGGTTAAGAAAACAATGTCAGGAGCATTGTGTGTATTCTGACATGTACTGCATGTGGCCAGAGTATTTTAGTTGGCAATCGGAACATGAAACACAGCATGGATTGGTTGAATTTAATCATATTGTGTCACATAACAGAGGATATGGTTAACTCAAACAAGGGAGTAAAACATGGTAAAAAACTGACACATTTAATAGAGATTGACACTTAACTTGAGTGAACATAAAAAAACGCAATTAACACATGAACCCAACAAATATCTAATAAATTAATGAAAATGTAAACATTTCAACCTAAACAATTGATAATTCTGTAATAACAATGAAAAATATAAGGGCTCTGCAGAAACAGTATGTGCTCACACCCTGGTAATCATACAACTGTGAGCTGTTACACAACACACTCAGTTATAACTCACAATCAGACACTACAACACTGTTGGAAATGAGATAAAAACACCACTTTATGATAGATAATGAAAACAAAAGCTGAAAGCTTTTTCAAAAATTAGAAATATAAGTGATGTTTCAAATATGCTTCATAGCCTATGATACATTATAACAATATTTTATGGTTTATTATTAAGAATTGTGTTTTATCATCTCAATGAATCTTAATGGGCTTTTTGGTATTTTTAACATTAGAAATTATCTACATAAATGTATACACAGTTAAATCTATGTTCCTATATCATTGGTTGAAATTTAAGATAAATCACACTTGTGATTTCATCACTTCTTAGTACATTTAGGTATTTAAATTATATCAGATAATAATATATGTGAACAAGTAACATCAATTATATAATTGTGTATTTTGATAAAGTACATGATGTTCTCTTGCTGTGTGCTAATTGATCAATTATAAGCCCTTGGCTAAAATGGGAATTATAATTATGATGAAAATCAAAACACTACCTTTCATCCTAGCTTTTTGTGTCATATGACAAAACTACAGGAGGCCATGCTCATGTGCATCTTGCACTTCACTAATAGGTACCATTCTTTGTTGTGAAGACAATTTGTCAGTTTGTAAGGCAGATGGAACTAGATTTGGCCTCCATGCTGTATGAATCTAGAAAGTAAAACATGGAAATATATGTAGTATAGCTAAGAAAATGTTGTTCCAAAATTATGAGATATAAATATGAATGAATTTGCTATACAAAATGTTGGCGAAAATGTTTAGAATGTTTTAATATCAGTTGAAACACTATAGGTGTCTGAAATGCAGTGACCTGTCATACTGAAAACATTTTATGAATAGGAACAATTCAAAAAAATATGAGCCCAAAATTTGGAAAGAATTATATGAAACTATGGTGATATACACAATGTTGGATTAATAAAATTCAGTATAACTTATTTCAGGAAACTTGTAAAAATTGTTCATACTGATATCTTTTTGAAGCCCAGCATTTGGTACAAGGGGCTGATAAGCTTCAATGATTTTCTGTCTAGGCTAAAAATTTAATAGGCTCAAGGTGTCAAAGTATGACATGTAAAATGATAGTATCCCTTTGGCTCTTTTGTTGAGACCTTGTTAGAAATGTTGTATGAAACATGTAAAAACCCTACCAAAAAATCATTAAAATTCCATGGACATTTCTCGTTTTTTCATAAATTCTGAAAAAAAGTTACGATCTTTTTATGTTTTTACTACTTTCATGAAATACTTTTTCCTACTGTTGAGAATTTCTCTGTTGAACTCTTCAGCTTTCTTGCAATTTTCAGAAAATTGTTTGACCCTTATTAAAGTTTTGCAAGAAACATGAATAGACTGAGGGATGCCATATTCTATATAGTGCGTTTCATAGTATGAAGGCCTATTCACATGTACCGAAAATAGTAAAGCAAAATATGAACCAAGCTAGAGTTGATGGATAAACAAAGGAATATGGATTTACAACCACATTTTCATATTTTTCATTATCAAAAATGGATAATTCGAAAACATGAGAAAAAGGTATTTTTGCTTATTATTTATTAATTTGGAAATTTGTCTAATGATTCTAACTCTAGACAATAAAAAGTGGCATTTTTCAATACAGGTTGTTCATATTAGACCTTCTAACTCAGTTGAAATGTGATTGACATGGAAATAAATTGTTGAAAATAAAGTAATGTAAGTGATCTCAGTACTAGACAATGTATGTTTAATATGTTTATAGTTTACTGTATCATCATCATATCATCTATAATTCTGTCAACAATCATATCAAATATAACAGGTTTAAACCCCCTAGAAAGTTTTCACCATTTTAGCACTTTTCAAGTAATTTGGGTCAAAATTGATGCCATAGTAAATTGCTCATCAGAAATCAAAAATTAGTGTCAATGATACACCTGAATTCTGCATGTAAATTGTATAATCTGAGCATTTAGTCAAAATTATTAAATCAATCTAAGAATATCAATGATCTCTGATTGTCTGATCATTCAGTAATACACACTACCCTACCACGTGACCACGTTTAAAAGGGAAACAGGGTACAGCTAAGTTGCAAATGGAGGACGTGGGTTTAATTCCATATTTCTGAACGTAAAATACATTTTACATTTATTTTTAGTGTTCTACCAGACATAGAATTGATTCATCAAGCAGTTTGTAGAATATTGTTGGCAAAAAACCACTATAGGCAAAGATAGATAATAGTGGGCGCAGTGAAGCAAAACTTAATGCAATACACGATACATTTCAGTAAATCTGTCAACGTACAGGGAGCATGTAAGTTTCCCTTCGAAAATGTTACATTGATATGTAACAAAACCCCAGTAAACTGTTATTTAAACTGCTTGTCATCGTGTTATATGTGGATACGTTTTCCAGTATGTTATTCAACTGTACTTTTGTGAATTAATTGTTTTTCTAAAATCTTAAGATGCAAAATAGTCGTCCCAGAAATGTATCTTTACTTCGCCGTAAGGCATAACATATTGTGAAACATTTTTCCTCTTGTCACAAGGAGGATAATGTTTGTTTCGAGGTGTCTTGTGATGAGCGTTTCATGATTAAATGCAAAATCACTGGAGCAGATACCATCCAAAAACATCTGACATTCAACACGTCATATAAGACTACATCGATCTGGTATCAGTTTTTTTACAATAATAGAGAAATACGACGTCATATCACCTCTACAGCAAATCGTGAAGATAAAATGTCGTGGCATGATGGTATTTTGAACAAACTATTTTAAATTATCGTTTATTTAGGACGGTAGTGAATTAGACCATTCAAGGGGTTATATAGAAAGATTTTTTACATGTAGTTCACGCAATTTTAATTATTCTAAATAGCGGATAGTCATTAATCCTGATAGCCAATAGTCATTTATCACTTACGTGTTTATATTTAATTTCGTTATTTTATTTCAATTTGATACCCTAGTAACACGTATAATCTAGCGTTCTTGTTAATTTAATGACTAAAATGCATTTACGACCTGAAAGCCCGTGTCTAAATGTACTAAATAATGTTTACTTTATTTGGAATAAATAACAATTGATGACACTTCAGAGCATCAACAGGCGGGTATTATTTTCACTGTTTGCAACGTAAATATACATGAGATCGGGACATAGTATATGTCTGTATAATCAGCTTACTTTCTCGCTCCCTGTACTATTGAACAATTTACATTCCTTGTACCCTGTATTGATCAACTTTTGCAGCTGTGTACCGTGTACTATGACATATCAAATCTTTTAAAATTTAAAACGATATTATTTACATTATTTCTTCAACTATCATATAACTTGGGACATGGACTTCACTATTGCACCACTGAAGTTCAGCGAATAGCAATATTGACTCACTCCGAGCACCAAACGTATTAACCTTTTCACTAAGCAGTCGATATACTCAAAAGCGACCTGATTGAAAGCCAAAATATTCGCGCATGCGCTATCGAGGTAGGGTAGTGTGGTAATAGTACATCAATATCTTTCTGTTGATATGGTTAGTTGAGATTAGGAAAACTTATATCACAGACAATTCCAGTTGGATATGGTCAAGTGGCTTATATGATCTTCATTTGAATGAAGAATGATAGACCAAAATGAATAATGAAGAAGAATACAAAGATGAATGGACAATTGGTCAAGAAACACCATGACATGAAGTTGAAGTTTAAAGATCAGACAGCCAGATGTTGACTGATAATGAAAAGAATTCAACAACTAAGCAAATCAAATTCCCCTTTATTAGTTTAGTTTGTCTAATTAGTCTGATTTAATATTCCAAGAGAAAAACATAGAACCTTTGAATTGAAGAAACCAGCGATATCGTGATACTGTGGCTCGTGTGCTATAAGGCTAGTAAAGTGGGATCATGGTTTAAAAAGAAATGACAGAAAAACAGATTGGTTTTGTTCACAAACTGAATAAGTCTTACTGGCCTCATCAATATTGAATTCATACTTATTCCTTTACTTCTACATTACAACCCTACAAATTGTAAATATTTCATTGCAGAAGAATCTGTCAGATATGTAGATCAAGAAGATAGTGAATATTCCTGTAATATTACACATTTTCTCCAATCATTTTTTCTAACATGCAAATACAGCTTGAGTAAATATCAAAATATCGTAATATCAAATTATTCTTATATTTTCAGGAGATGTGAAGTTTACTTGCGCATAGGTGGTGCAGCCATTTGGACAAGTGCTATCTGGTTCTTAACACAATAGAACATAAACATGATAGAATTAACATTCAGTTGAATATCTTATGCTATGTAGAAGTCCAATTCATAATATGGTATCTCGAAGTTAAATTCCTAAAATGCCATAGTTTTGTCTTAGTGAAGCGAGTCAATTATGACACAATTTAGAGTGAAGAAGAAGCGAACACTTTGTGTTATTGTCGTGACAACATGCCTGCTAGGATTTGTTGTCTTGCTGTCAACCATCAAGGATCAGACATCCCTTAATGTAGGAAGTGACTATGATCTGCGGTATGATATTGATGGAGCTGATATCGTTAGTGACGAGCTGTACCAACAACATAATAATCAATTTGAGATGAATATAGAAAGTGGATTTAAACACATCGAGAGGAAACCACAAGCTCACATTGAACGGAACTCTAACCAATATAATGATGCAAGAAATGGTTTCAGGGACAACACAGATGATGCAAACCTAAGTGAGGATTACACAAACCCTGATTATGACATGAATGTAAAACTGAAGAAAATTGGAGAGGCCTCTGAGGAGGAAGATGATGACGAAGATGATGATGATATTGTAGCTGAAGATGATGAAGATGATGGCTACTATGACAATACAAATGAAAATGCAGTATTTAAGTCTGATGACTTTGATATGCAAAATTATAGAAAATTCTCAAATATGGAGAATGGTGTTGTTAAAATGAACCAAGAGCAAAGCCAAGATTCCATTGTTAATGACAGACTTTTGGCAGATTCCCTTAATGTTAAACTTGAGAAACCTGTGCAATACAACAAAATAATCCCACAAGATCTTAAACATAGTGCAGTCAAACAAGATAGTAAGTCACGGACTAAATGTGCAGAAGGTAAACCCTGTGTTACTATTAAAACCACTGAAAGATCTCATAAGCCAATACAAAAACATACAAAAGCACTAGATGCAACTGAAAAATCAAGGATAGGGTTAAACCCACAGACACAAATTCCTGCCCAGCCAGGCGTAAAGGAGCTCCCTTTAGAGGCCCCAATTTTGAACAGTCAGAAGGAGTCACTGCAGAATACATTAATGAGCCCCATACCAGAGAGGATGGCACCAAATGTCAATGATAGCAATGTAACTGTCCGTAGCAATATGGGGATTCCAATTGTAGTTCAAGGAGTATTCTGGTCTGATGACCTTCTGCAGTATGTACCAAAAGGTAAGCATTTGTTTTTTTCCCTGATCAATAAGCAGTTTTTAATTTGTTAAGATATTGCTGAAAGCCATTACACTTGGAAAAGGAATTTCTTTGCCAAATTCTCCACCTACACTCTACAGTCAGGTTGCATCATTACAATATTGCTCTGTTCATAACAATAATTCTGTGTCTGACAATTTTGGCAATTTGGCTAAAAATGTCATTGACTGATTGCTGAGTACCTGAATAAACATATCTCTCTCCAGCCATTCACAGGAGGTATAGACAATCCCACAATCCTTTGCATCTCTATCAATCAGAACTTAAACAAAATGAAAAATATACATGCAGCCTATACACTTGTACTTAATTATCCATTTTATGAATAAAGTATCAGTTATCCATGCAAAAACGCATTAAAGATCCAGCCCACTAACTTTCCATGTTCAATTGAAAAAGACAATCATGTATCTCAGAAATCTTGCTATGAATTCTGGGTAGATATGAGCATTGCCTTTATGTTTTTAGGATACTGAATGTTTTCTTTGAGATTTCCTCCCAGTTGGAATTCATCAATCTTCTCCCTAAATTAGAAAAGGTGTCAAAATTAGTTTCATCTTTCTCCACATATTGTTAAGGCTTTAACTATTTGACTCAAAACCTTGACTTTTGACAGTTGAAAGAAGTATACTAATAATGTGCTAGGATTGGTGGGGAGTTTATCTTCAACTTTGCATTTTCTCTACTCCTGAGTTAAGAATTGAATGAATTCTACATTCATCAACCACCAGAATGTAATTTAAATGTGAAATATTGCAAAATAATTATATACTATTCTGGTTATATCCTGAATCTAGCATAGAAATAGACCCTTATAGATCTAACAAGAATTGACTTGCGTGCAGATTTTGATTTTCTGATCCTGTTCTATTATGGCATACACTGGGCTATTAATTGAACTAAAATCAGTTACCCCTATGATATGATGTATAATTATGAAAAACATTTACTGAGGTATTGTCACTTTGTATTGTGAAACTCTCACGATTTAAAACTTTAACTTTCATCAAAATGTAATTTACCAATCTCGTGTGAATGCCTCAGATTTAGATGGAACATCAATTCTAATATCTTCCACCTTTCAGTCAAAACCCAAAGGTGAAATTAATGAAAATTATCAAAAGCTAATTTCAGAACCCAGGATGCATGGGGTGAGAGGGTTATACTTAGATGTTTACATGAAGAGGGATCGAAAAAGAATCGCCTAAATGTGATGTGCACCCAACTGTTATTATGGGCTATGTATTATTCTCATGGCGCCAAAACGACTGGCTCACATGTCATTTTCTGCTCAAAGGTGTTATGATAAATGACATTATACCTGAATAATTGTTTGCATCCCTTAAATACAACTCCATTCCAATTTCATGAAATTTCTCAATTAAAATCCCATAAGCATTGATTTCTCACATTTTAGTTAAATTAAAACCATAACCTAAGAAAATGTTTCAAAATTTGAATCAAAAGATTCCATATGTTTTCACAGGCTTTCTCTCAGGAAAGGATGATCTAAAAGGACACATTTGGATGATGAGGCTTGCCTCAGGATATAGCATATGTCTGTTGCTAGCATAGAGCACATCCAACCATCTGTAATGCATACAAAATTGAGACATACTGTGTATTTTTCTGAACATCCGATGTGAACACATAATTAAAGATCTCACGAAAAACTCAACCGATGTTTCCAGAGGAATATTAACTAAAATAATTCAAAAAAAAGAATGATGCAGATAAAGGAATCTTCACATTTTTTCAGTTCTATTTGAAATATTGTTGTCAGGAAATTCCAACAAATCCTACTTTTTAAAGAGAAATGATTCTAATATGTATAGTTTGAGTAAAGGTTTACTTTTTCCCCAACAGAGAGGTAACAGTGTATGAATAAACCAATAATCCAATTCTTCTAAGTCTTCAAAATGTCAGCAAACAATGAAAATCGATAACTCTTTTTAAGTAAGGCCAGAATAACACTTACTCCAATCATTAAAGGTGACATTTTACATTTGATGTGTCACACTTAACACATTTTGACTGTTAAACACATTTCAACTGTTTAGCACATTTCATCCATTTGTTTACCAGTGACACTAATTTTAAAGGGACCTTAAAGGGGCAACAAGGACTGTTGAGAGAAAATTCGAATTTTTTTATTTTTTCTGAGCTATCAGGTCAATATTTGGCTTAATAAACTATCAATTTCAGCATTAAGAAGTGTAAATTCAGTTCAAAGCTTCTGTAAAGGGAGTCCCACCACGTTTCAAGAGGAATATCAGCTGAAATAAGTTCATCTAGGGGGTTTCTTTGTAGATGATAAAAATATATGTTAGTCTTGATGAAACATCCAAAGCTAAATATATTTTGACACTGGTCGATGATTGTTGAATTTCTCATTGTTGCACCTTTAAGAGAAAAACTGACACAAGACTTTTTTATTTTTTCTAAAATCAAGAAAACAAGTCTGGCATCTAGCTCACTGTTGCATTAATGCAGTAGTTTCAAATACAGATTTGTGTGCTGTCTCTGGCTCATATGTAAGACTAATGAGGTTTTCCAAAGGTCTACTAACAGCCTATAAAGATGTGCCATAATGAGTTTCTATCTTTCTCCATTTCTTGATTTACTTGAGAATTTCCTAACTTACTCATACATGCCTCGAGTAATGAGCTGTCTAACACCTGGCCAAACCTTGAATGACTGCTGAAATTCTACTTTCAACTGTCAAAATACTTTATGATCCAGACACCAAAATATTGGTTGAAGCCTGATTAGTTTTGCAATATGGTCAATGCTCTGCTTCCGGATTGTAGATTTTCACAGCAATCTAAGTTTGGAAAATTTGTTTAATTCTATCTTTGTTACTAATATCATGGTGGTGATAATATTGATTAGTGCAGGCCGTCCAACTGTCCCCCAATTTATGTAATTGTCACACATTTGCTGGAAAATTTGAAGTCACACCATTTTTTTGCGTGACAGAATATGTCACGCAAATATGCATTTTACCTGATTATTGTCAAGGAAAAATATTCCAGCAGAAAAACTTCAAAAAAGTGATCGCCAATACAGCAAAAAAACAAATGCCAAAAAACGAACCCATTTCGTTCAGAATTTTCACGCTGATACCGTATATGTCACGCATACTCCTCAAAATATTTCGTACCAACCCCCAGATCAAATGTTGCCACTTGATCCATTGATATCAAATGATAAATATTCCAAAGCATACAATATGATAATAAGGCATGAGTTGAGATATGATCTGAGACAATAAATCTGCATGTTCAGAAAGATAACTGTGACCTTAACACTTAATGTTTCATTTCTGGTAACCAATCCATACTTTTCTACCTTGTGTTAGGGAACTAATCAGGTGCACAGGGGGAGGGGGGGGCAAACTGTTAAACCAGTGCATTCTTCATTCATATGACTATGGTGACCCAAATTAATTAATATTAAAACATGTTTCACTTGATACTTAAATATATTACCAAATGTATTTGTTCATGTATTTCATCACCCCCTTGCACGAGATACTCCCTTTGTGATCCACTTTCAACAACAAACACGATCAACACATGCCAAACAGATGAGAACACTCTAAAAAGAACAGTTCAAATATATACCTGAAAACTGAACACAGATCTGAAACCCAGAAATAAGATATTAAATGTTTACTACTAGTGAACTGAGTTAAACTGTAGAAATGACAATGAATTATTTAACTACATTTGCATATTCTTTTATTTTCTAAAATTCGTTTATATATTGATTTATATATTAACATGTTGAAGCTGAAAAAAATGCTTGAAAGATAAAACATAAAAAAATTGTTAATATTTTATCAGTTCATCCCCAGGGCTCTGCATTAGATTGAACATTGGGAACATCTTTCAGTATATCTACTCTATAGTTGCATGGTTGGTGTTGCAGTTGTCCTGGAAATGTCTAAAAGGTGAAGTGTTGACTGGCATAAGGACTGCCTAATTGCAGTGAACACACTCTTGTTGCAATTCATTTACACCTTTCCCACTTATAGCTAACCATGTGGTTTCCTTCTCTCCCTGTAGATCTTGATGAGGTTATTTAGAGGTCTATAAACTATGATGATTCTCTCAACCCCCCCCCCCCCCCGCCTCTGTATTCGGCTTTAGAGATTTCTGTTTCATGAATATTGACTATTCTTTTTTATAAGCAATTTTTTATTTAGCTTTTAGTATCTAATAGATTATTTACCTCATCGAATGTATTCATAGCCATTAGCCTGGTAATAATCTGTGATAAAACAGGTTTACTTGACATCCTAGATTTTTATATTTTTCTAATTTATGATTTATGAACTCTATATATATTTCCAGGACCAAGTAAGCAAGATACTGAGACATTTGTGAAGAAGGTCCAACAAATACATGTCAAAGACATCAAACCTTCAACATGGGACCGCTGTGGTCGTGATAAAAACAAGTTTGTGATCCTCGAAGACGGCACACAACTGTGTGTGAGATATAGAGCACCACATTCAAAACTAGTCAAAGGTAGGAATATTTTGAGTTCAAAATACATTTTGAGGTTTAATGTATAGAAGTAGAAAAGCAATATTTCAAGTACAACACAATCATCCAAGAAATAAGTAACCAGATTAGTCTTCCTTCCCAAACCTCTCAATTATTCTCAACATTTCGCAACAATTGTTTTGTGCTGAAAATTCGTCCATAGTATAACTTGGTCAATTTTATCCATCATGGTATTCCACATGACTGAAGGAATATACAACTGTAACTCCGATCCCAGATAGCTAAAATGTTGGCATACCAATGTGCCATCTATTAAATATAAAATACTTCATTTTTGTCTTCAGGTGAAGTGTTGTCATTTTATTTAGCCAAGTGGTTAAAACTTGACAATGTCCCAATCACCGTTCTATCAACTGTAGACAACACATCACCTCAATGGAGGGGCCATAATATTACTTCTCTGGGCTGGCAAAAGGGGGAGCCAGCAGCTCTAATACAGTATATAGACAACCTTAATATATTACAAAGGTGAGGAAATATTTATAATACATTATCTATATCTTAAGAATAAAAATAAGATATATTACAAAATAACAATCGCATAAACCAGTATTAAGAGATATGTAATTGGTAAAGGGGAGAACATGATACAATTCTATGTTTAGTGTAAGAAAAGTCTTATTCAACATAAAAAAATTAAACAGATTGTGTGTTGTGTTGTTAAACAAAAATCTTAAAAATATATATATGACATATTGTTCAAAATTCAGTATAAGACTGATGCTTAATTTCAGATCTCGAGTGAAAATCCCAGACCAGCTACTAAAAGCTTATGAAACTGGGAGCATATTAGACAGCAACAGTTCTCTCATGACCAGCCTTAGGGTTGAGGAGCTCATAGAATTGATTCAGTGGACCCAGATGATCATCTTTGATTACCTCACTGGGAACTATGACAGGTAAGTCTAACACAATGCACGGTTGTGTAATGATTTTAAGATCTTTTGCTCATAATGCTAAAATGTAAACGACCTTTTACTTGGCCTACATTAACTTTTTATATAACATAATTACATGTGAAAAACATTTTTACTTTCATATCAACCAGTTTCTGATGATTTCTTTATTGGTCAGATATCTATTCCAGAGATAAAATGTATATCTAATGTGTTTAATGGGATATCAAGTACAAATATATGCTTGGAAGTAGGTGAATAGATTTAATCCTGGACTTGGAACTACACAAAATGTACTTACTGCATAACTAATCTATTATCTGTAAGGAAGCTATCATCTTGACCATCACTCATGTATCTCATCCTTCCATATATTTTCAGGGTTGCGAGTATGCAAGATGGAGCTGAAAAAGAAAACAAACCCAAAATTATGCATGATAATATGAGGAATCTCCGTAAAAACTGGAAGACTGGCAAACTTTGGCTTATAGATAATGAATCAGGGATGTTTGATGGATATGAACTATTATATTTAGGCGACCAAAATTCCAGGAGATTTTTAAAATTTCATAAAGAAATGCTAGAATCAATTTGTATTTTTGACAAACATATGGTGACTGCTATTGAAGAGCTCCTCAAACATGACCAGCCACAAATAGTTTTGGAAAGTTTTGCCCAAACCCATGATCCATTATACAAGACAGTTGAGGCAAAATTAAAAATAAACCATTTAGCGGAACATTTTAAAGACCGTCTAAAGGAAGTTTATAATTGGGTAAAAAAGTGTCAAAAAAGGTAGCAGAAAAATATCTACCAACATCAAAAATAAATATCAAGGTGCTAGTTCAAATCTCATTTAAGGTTGTAAATGTTACATATTATATTCACCACTGCCAAAATGCTTTCAAAAAGATGCCATATAAACTAAACATGAGGTTTTATCTAACACATTGAATATTTTTAGAATTCTAGTCCCAAAATCTTAACCATGCATGCAGGAAAGCTGCATCTTGAATGCCCCTCATAATCATAGCATGGAAACTGAATTTATTAACAACAGTAATATATGAGGGGCCAGGGGAAGGTTTATCAGGATAAGTGTGACTCCCCAAAATGTAAGATTGTAACAAAGTGTTACTCACTAAAATATGACACCCTCAGAAACATTAGTATATTAGTTTTGATATCTTATATTTATTGTGAAGTATAAGAATTCATAACTTATATACAAAGATTTAACAAGATAAGACAAAAAACTTTACAATTTCATGATGAGTTCTTTTTTCATGTTCATGAGTGGTATATCTATATTGATTAGCAAGAATATTATATCATAATCTACATGTGATTAATTTATTGACAGCAGCCCAAGAAAGAAATCTCAAATATTTGTCATTATGTTTATGATATTGTGCTATTAGATCATGATGATCTTTAAATGTAAATCGTTGTTAATTCATATAGTGTTATTTAAAGATGCACTCTAAATATCCTAAAGTGAGGTTTGATATTACTTTTTCATATCAGTTCATTTATTGTTGTTTTAACGTTTGAATTATAATCCCTTTCAAAATCAGCTGTTTATACAGAAATTAAATATATAAATAAATGACAGTAAAACCTGGATATCTGAACACCTTATTTATCATAACACCTCTAAATATGGACACTACTATAGTTCAACTTCACTTCATGTTCACTCTTTCAGTTTACAAAATAACTCACCAAGCCATTCAGAGTATGTTGTTGAAATACAGTAGACTTTCTATGTATATGGTCATTTCCACCGATGTGATCGCATAGTAAATGAGCACACAATATAGCATGTGTTCCTTCGAGCTCACTGATTGGTTGAGAAAAGATCAGCGGAAGGTTTGAAATGATTTATGACCTAGGCTGCAACTGGCATAGGCGGGGGGTTACTAAACTGTAATTTTGTCTGTACTAGGCAGAGGGTAGTTTATGACTACACTGCGTGCAGGGTATTGGATATTAACACTTTTTGGTCTCATTTTTAATCTGCTAGACTCCTATGTTGGAAAACCTTAAAATATGAAGACCTCGCAATCTGAACATTTTGGACAGTCCCATTGGTGATCAGATAAAACAGGTTTCACTTTACACTGATTTTCTTATTTCAAGTGAGGATAAATCTGAATGTTTTCATGAAATCATGCTAGTTATGTGGTGAACAATATGTAACGAATTCTTACCTATCATTATGGTCTGGTAAATAATTTCTAGATGTAAATAGGTGAAAAAAGTATTATTTATGGAAATAAATGTTAAATTATTGATAATAAAAATAAAATACATGTTTGTCCTTTGTATCATAAAAAGGATAATTTCACAGTGTAATGAATGAAGCTGTGAAATCATGCCCATACAAAACCTGAAGCCTAGAATCGACTGATTTAACTGTATATCTGGAATGTACTCTGATATGATGTATTCCCCGATGTAATTCACAACTTTGCCATTAGATGGCACTTCAGGTTCCAGCATGTAGATCCGAAATATTTTTATTACTAATAAGTAAAAACTGTGATAGTCAACTCAACTTCAATAAGGCGAGGTACAAAGCCATTGATACAGATCTTGAAAAGAACACATGCAGGCAGGATTGGTCCATCTGCACCTTATATAGTTCCAAAACGTATATAGGTCATGTAAGCGTCTGCCCTGTCAACCCTAACGCAATAAACGCATTTGCTGGAAAAGTTGAAATCAGGCATTAATTTTGCGTGTACGATAAAATGTCACGCAAATCACACATTATGTTGATGTTTAAATAAATCTGATTTTCATATATCGCTGATACAGTAAAAAAAAACAACGGCGAAAAAACAAATGCTTTAAGTTCAGACTTTTCACACGAATTCTGTATATGTCACGCATTTGGTTCGAAATACTGTATAAGTGGTATTTAATCCGAGTGGTTAATTTTCCGAATGGTCAAATTTCATCATTTTCCTAATTTTAATTTTCCTAATGACAAGAAACCTCCCATTGGATAACATTATAAAGACAATATTTCCGACATTTACTTTTCCGAACCTGGCAAAAATTAGGAAATAGGAAAATTAAATGATTAGGCAAAATTACCACTTATACAGTACGTGTTAATGTCACGCATTTCCTTCGAAAAATTGTGAACCTACCCCAGTTGACAGAGTTTTTAATCGTGAGCGTCAGCGAGTGGAAAAAATTGAGGTGGCCACTATTTTGACCAAGATGTTCAATTTTGGACCAAGGTGTCCACAAATTGAAGGAAGGTGTTCAACATTTGTAAGTCACTCATGTAAGGTGTTCCCAAATTGACAGGCCTGAAGCATTGAAAAGCCAACTAAGTTATATATTCCTTTCCTCAATCGATTCTAAACATCAGCAGAAACGTTCTCCCAATGGCCAAAAAGATGCGGCTGTCTCAAATATACATTTCTGATGGTGTAAGAATCGATTGAGGTAAGCCGAAGGTGTACATGGCTAACACCATTATATTTTTACTTGAAATATAACGGAGGCGGCTATCTAACGTTCCCAATTACAACTAAATTAGTAGATACCAAAGACCAAAGAAAAATGATAATCTTTTTGATCTTTATATTTATGATGGGCACCCCAGTAACGCTGTGTGTGAGTTTTATTGTCCACCGTTTTCAAATCTCCCCATTAAATGGTTTTTAAACTCACCTTTCTTCAAAACCAAATGCATAAAATTGTGTGTGCTTCATTCGATTCAGCTACAATACATAATTTTGCTGAATTTTGAACTTTTTCACAAGGAGGATTGGCTCCCAGGATCGAAACTCGATATTTTCCAACAATGAAAACGTCGAAATGTCGTTATTTTCTGAAATTAAAACCGACTATAAATTCAAAATAAACAGTTTAAAAGATTCGAACCAATATCTCGATCGTTTCTTGTGAGTTTTGGAATTTTTCGTTTGGAAATAGTGTGACGATCCTTCAGATTACTTTGAGCATGGTAATGGAATTGCCTTGAAGGATTGTCACTTTGTTCAACTTTTTGCTCTTCACTTTATCAATTGTGCTTTTAGTTACTCAATATTTAAAGAGTTATAAAATAATTTAAATTCTGTAAAAGGCTAGTCAGTATTTCTACTTTGGCTATACTCTTAAAGTATGGTTAGAGTTTAATCATTTTACTCTATATTTATATTTATTTTTACTAACCTTCTCTTGTGTTTTTAATGTAATATTATTTACAGGATTAATGTCAACATATATATATTTTGTTCATAATAAGACTTTAATGTGAATGTTTTAGGCCCAGTTTCATGTTTAATGTTATGTTACAAACTTTTTAGAAAGGGCAGTTGTCTGGGTTTGTTTCAAAATCCAAAGTGAGGCTTATTAAGCTTGATTTAAGTAAATAAGCACGATTTAAGTGAATTGTCTTTTTCTGTGCTTTTATGATTCGAATTCAAGCCGGCCAGACATGGAAAACATTTTGTGGAATTTTAAACATTAAATCGTCATTAAAATTGGATATTTATATTGCCGCAGATAAACCAACTTAGGTGTACGAGAATTGGTAAAGGTAATTGACTTGATCTAATTGTATTTTTGCAGAGTTTTAGTCTTTGAAAAGAAGTATCTGTACACTTGACTTTTTCCTTAATTTTATTTATTTGCCTTGTGAACATCACATGTTTAAATTGTCCCAGGGATTGTTAAGGAACATTTGACAAGGTTAACACAAGGTTACACGCAGAGTTTTTGTCTTAAAGAACCTATGTAACTTATTAACTAGCGTCGAAATCAAGTTCCCAGGGTTCCTTGAAACCTCTTATACAACATTCCCACAGGGAATCGTTTAGGAATATTTGACAAGGTGTACGAAAAGTTACGGTCTTTACGAACCTTATGTAACTTGCTCTAAACCAGTCAACTGCAAATTCCAGGGGTTCATAGACACCTCTATACGACATTCCCCCCCCCCATCCAGTTTGGGACTGTATTTAGTTTGTTCACAGGGTAAATTTTATTGATACACTAGAAATACTCCTTTCTATATTTAAATTCTGGGTAATTTAAAGGTGAAATCCCGGGCTTATGGGACCATTATCAAACAACTGATCATTGAAGTACTTTTAAGGGTCATGGTCATTCGAACCCCATTTTCGGAATTAATACACCCCCTCCCCTTCTAGTTTTCCATGTCTGGTCTAATTCTATGTTAACCACATTCTAATTCATTATAGATACTAGAATACTTTTAAAATACTGTTTCTCATTTGTTTGCCAATTGTACCATATTCTGATAGTGGCAAAATGATGTCCCACTTTTCATGTGAGTAGTATAGAGAGCTGATTTCAACCCCACCAGGGATTATATAAAATTGCACTGTTGAGTTACATTTTTGGGAAAAGACACATTTTAGGCTTTGTTGCAAATTGTTTAACTGAACTTCCATTAGCTGTGCTGTTTTATGCATGTTTGGTTTGAGAGATTATTTACTTGATATACCATCTCGGCAGTACTGAATTGTGTAATGTTTCTGTAGATTAGTAAATAGAAATAGAGTCGTTTTTATACATTATATGAAAATCCACAGAATATCACTTGTTGTGTTCGATTATTTATATATATGTTAGAAAATTCCCCTTTCATTTTATCTGAAGTAGATTCTGGATTCAAAATAGATTCCGACTAAATTCCAGGTGACTTAAGTGATACTAACATTCAAGCAACAAGCTTTATCTTAGCTCATATTTGCTAAGGGCTTCTTTGAATAACAATCACTCACAATAAGTCATACATATATTTTCCCAGAAACTATGCAATAGTGCAAAGCTAAAGTACAATCGAGGATCTTACTTTCTTATTTAACCTTTGTCTTATTGAGAATATTAGTGAGAATTTCATTCACCCTGGTTCCAAGTCGTTACCTCAAACATCATTTACTTCCAATGTTTTCTTACTTGCTTGTTTAAATGGTGTACAAGTAATATTATCCCCTGATGAGTTTGACAGACTCTTGATTTGAAATAGCCCTACTTTAATTCTTACAAAATCTCCCATTTTAAGTGTGAACAGTGAGCTTTATATACAGCTCGAAGTCCATTGTAGCCCCCAGTGGCTAAGACTTCTACCTGGTTATACTCACACCCTAACATTATACTTATTTGATACAACTGAACACTGGGCACATTCAGAATCTGGAGTCTGTTGCCATTCGCCTTTATGAGATAAACAACTTACATTGAAAACTGACAAATCTTACTTAGTCTATATTCAGATTTTGTTATCCCGTAATTGTTTTCCCGAAATTGTCCCACGTCATCCCAATTATTTTTATCCCAGAATTTATCCCTAAATTTTTATCCCTAAATTTATCCCTAAATTTTCATCGCAAAATTTATCCCAATTTGATCCAATTTTGTTATGATACTGTGAACACGGATGTTGTTCAAATAAATAGGGATACACATTTCAACTTTTACTTGAACTTGTCCCGAAACTAAGTTAATGAAAACATCAAATCAAACTATTGATTCTTAGACTGTATTCTGTTTACGACCCCCAAACCACGCTACCACACGAGGGTCGTGACAGAAATGGTGGCCATTGTGGTGTGATGTAATACTTGACGTATTGACCCAAGCCCAGTTTTACGCCATTCCTTACATTTATGCTAATTTGCACTCATTAATATTCAAAGCGGGATCATTAACTGTAATCAACAATGTCGGAAAAGTCGGACATCTTTAATCTCGCAAAGCGCACCCCATTACACGTGTCCGAATCCACTGAAAGACCCTTATCTAGCCAAAAATCGCAGGCGGAAGCTTTTGACACTATTAGCCCCGGGTGGTTTGATGATTCTGAAGTTGTATTGGGCCATCAACACCTTAATGAACAAGAGTTGAAATTGGCTCAAGACAATACACTTCCACTTGAATCATCAGCAACTACACCACCCCAAATAAAGAGACCATCTTTTAAGGTTTCTCCGCCTGTCAAATTGCCACGCATTCCTAAATTACTGTTAGATAGGCCTAGACCACTTCCAAAGGGTAGGTTGTTTAATCCCCTGCTTAAAATGGTTAAGCAGGATACTAAAGACCCAAAAAGTGACTTGAATTTGGTATCTTCAAAAAATGGTGAAAAAAGTGTGAGTAGTAGAGGTGGGGCATATGAACCCCCCATAGCTGGTGCACCTGGGTCCCTTGAAAAGGAAACCTTGATGGGTGCTTATGGGGGAATGCCATCTAAAACACCTCCTTTAAAGCCTCTTCCAGCCTATGGAACAAGAGCTACTGCTAAACAAGCTTTTT